TCGACCAATAGTGTTTATGATTTCGTGTCCCTGTGTAATACTCTCCTTTAAATGGATGAAGTTTTCTGGATCCTAGCAGCTGAAAACATTTCTTTTCCCAGCCTGTGTACAGGCTCTGGTTCATTTGAGGATGTGGTTTGTGACTGGCAGCTGTTTTAAATAAGCAAAGCAAAGGGCATGGAGAAAGGAAAGTTGTATGAAGTATGATTTGAAATATGCAGCGTTAAGAAGATTGATACAAAACAGACTGACTCTGCGGTCAACTAATACTAGATGTTCATAGCAGGGGCTTCCTTTTCTTACATACGGGGGTATTCCAAGTACTGCAGCAGCAGTATAGCTCCAACTCCCAGCCAATGACTCCTGAACACTATGAGCCTGATCTTGAAAGAGGTTTCCGTTGGATTTTGGTGCGTTAATGCCTTTGAAGAGAGGTTTGATGAAATGTTTATCTTAGGTGTGTTTACCAGATGAATAATGGGAATTTCTTTTTCCTCTCATCCCTGGCATCACAGAAGCATTGGCCTGGGTGGTACTTCAGGGATCATCTAAGTCAGCCTTTTGCTCTGAAGGAGAAATAGTTTATCTGGAGATATTTATTTAGACTATTTGCAAACTACCTACTGAAGAAGATTTCATGTCTTCCCAGGGTAATTCGCTCCTTGCTGTCTCCACTTCTTGAGTGATTGCTCTTCAATTGTCAGGTCTCTGAACAATTCCTGTTGCTGTTGAATATTATTGCAATTGCTGCCAGGTCTCCAAAATGGTTTTGTTCTATTGATGTATCTATCAGTACTGATTACTTTCAAGTTAGGCTGGGGAGTCCTGAATCCATTTGTATCTGTTTTGTCACCCAGGTTACATTTTTCCAACAGGAAGAATTACAAATAGATTATTCGTGAGTTAAAAAAATCTATCAGTGATTCAGGCTACAGACTGACAAGACTAAGCAAGTCTGCTTTATTTCCCCCAGAGATGTTGAATTTTTAGAAGGGGGAAGAATAGAGGGTAAAATGAAAAATTTCTTGCTCGGGTAACTTGTGCCCAATCATCCTCAACGTATGGCTTAGTATTATCCCCCATTTTATAGGCCATTTCACAGTGTGTCCCAATAACCAGATTCATCACAGAAATTAGAACTGTAACTACTGCTGTTAATGATGGCAAAGAATTAGAGCTTAGGGGAGTGATTATTTCCTTCTGTTTGGCACTTAGGAGGCCATGTCTAAATTACTGTGTCCAGTTTTGGGCTCACGGTACAAAGGAGGCTGACAGACTGGACTGAGTCCAGGAAAGAGACACCAGGAGGCTTTGGAGGATAGAGCAGATGTAGGAGTCACTGAAGGAGCTGAGTTTGCTTAGTCTTGGGAAGAGAAAGGTAAGGGCAGCTCTAACTGCAGTCCTCGCCTAACTAATGGAAAGTTACTGAGAAGACAGAGTTAAGATTTTTGCAGAGGTGTACAGCAAAAGGGCAAGAGGAAACGGGTGCAAATTGTAGCAAGGAAAATGTAAGGAGGAAAAAATACAAGGAGAAAAATGGATATATGAGTATAAGGAGAATAAAAGAAGATACTCTCCTCATATGAATATAAGGAGAAAAATGAATATATGAAGATAAGGAGAATACAAGGAGAAAAAACCTTCACAGTGAGGGTGGTTAAGCACTGGAACAAGTTGCCCAGAGAAGTTGTAGAATCTCCATCCTTGGAGTTCTTCAAAACTCAGTTGAACAAAGTGCTCTGTGATAAACTAGAGAAATGCCATTGCAAAATTATCTTAATGACAAAATCAACTAGAAAGGAAAAAAAGTATTCAAATTATGTGTCTGCGGTCCATATTCAAAACCACTGGCATAAGAGTTCTTACCTGCAATTCATGGAAATGAAGTACACAGGCATTCCAGGTTGGAGCATTGTGACAAAACATGACTTCTCTTAGACTTTAAAAAAAAAAGTCAGCAGTGATTCATTCTCAGATGAAGAACTGTGGCATACTAGTGTGGTATTCGTATCTTTTCAGATTGGCAGATCTGAACCAAGCTATTCACCAGAACAATAGTTGTGATTGTCACTTTTCTTGTGTCATTTGATAGTTGCTCACTATTCTCAGAGGTAGTACTTTGCCTCTTTCAGGGTGATGAATTATTTAGATACCTAAAAACCTTCCCTGGCTTGCTGTCTTCATTCCCTTTGTTGTTCAATTATTTTCACTTTTGGCAAGGATGTAGTTAATCTATTATCATCATGTGTTTTTTTTTTTTAAATGAAATTGATAATGTATTTTGTACAACTGTTTTGATTCTCTTTTAATCTTTGTAACCAAGACACAGATTTTTAAATGATGATTTTATAAAAGTACTTAATTATTGATAATACAGAATAAGTGCTTGACATTAGTTGGTAGTAATTACTGTATGTGATTAATTTGTTAGTCATAGGCGGAAGTTTCTGCATAAAGATGATTTAAGTCAAAATATTACTCGTATATTAAGGACTGTATTTCTTTTTTCTCGAATAGTGTTTCGTTTATTTAAATTTACTTCATATTTTCCTTTGTTAGAGAATTCCAGAACTTCTCCCATGAAAACTGGTTTGATACGGTTGTGATACATATTGTCACCATTTATTATACCGTATTAAACTAGATTATTAACATACTGAATAGTGAAAAGCATTGTAGCTGTCCAAAATATGTTTATATTCTGATGGTCATTTATTATATTACACTGCCCTTTAGCAGCATACGGCATTTGTACTATGCATTAATAAAAGTGATCTAGGCTGTGTCATTAGTAAACTGACAGCGTAAATGACTGGAGAGAGAGAGTTAAATTAGACATCTATTTCAGTACAATAGTTGAGAATGCCTCTTAATAGCAGAAAAGAGTTTGGATTTGTTTACCAAATAGAAAGTAATTTAAACAAATAGTCTAATATGTCATGACTTCCATAATACTTTCCCACTGTGTTTAATCTTGGATTTAAGTGATACAGGACAAATAGGGCAAATAGCTTTATGTCCAACCCCAAAGATGTTTACAAAATCAGGAGTCCTGTGGGGGCAGGTTTTCATCATGCCTATATAATTAAGTCAGGAGTTATGCCAATGAACCTAACTGACCACCCTTGTATTAAATTGGTCTTAGAGGAGAGTCAACTCCCTTGACTTTAAAGGCAGTTTTATTTTCACTTTTTTCTGAAAAAGGGCATGCAAGATTTGGCTTTGTGTCTCAATAGTCGTATCGTATAATTCAAAAGAATAACAATCTACTGAAGAGTTACCAGGAGTTTTAACACAATCTAACTTGGAAAGACTTCTTTTTGTGTCACTTACTTGCCATTCACTGCTCCATAACGAAGAGGCATTCTATCGTGTTTATTCCAGACAAAACATATCAAATTATTTTCTGTTTTAGATACTAAATTTGATCAGGTGATAAAAAAGTCTAAACTTAGAAAATTCTGTAAAGAAGCAGATTTCCTTGTTCTTGGAACAGTCTGTTAGTTGCATGTGAATTAGGTCTAGGTTCTCAAAAATATTTAGATTCATGTTGATTTGAGTGTTGTCCAAATACTTTTGAGGATATTGGTATAATGGCAAGAAAGACTGCAGAAGCCTATACATTACACAAGGCAACACTCACCTTTTAAACATGGGGCCCTCAATGTGAAGCATTTGTGCTTACAAGGAAGAAGTGGGGGCACACTGCAGCAAGGGTGCTTGTTGTGAGCATTGAGCTGTACACAGGACTCTTCTATATTTTCCATGTGACCTTTAGAAACATGCAAAAAAAAAAAAGGTGGAAATCTTTTCTTTTGATCCTTTGAGAAATTCAGAGTTCTCAAAACCAATGAATCTAAGGCAGGGTCACTAAACTTAAATGTCTGCAGCTCTGAGTTATTAAATTGGAGGTTTTCGGCTAGGAAGAAATTCTGGAGTGAATTCCTGGCCCTTCTGAAATCAGTAAATGTTCTGTACTTGGCTTTAGCAGGGACAGAAGGTCATCCTGGTTATCTGTCCTGCTAAGCAGACTAAACTTCTGTTACGGAAGCAGTGGTAGAAGTTTCTCTTTATCAGTATTCTACACAGCTCCAGAAATGTAAAAAGTGGAAATTAAAAGTTGAAGATAGCTGTATCCATAGTCCTGTTCCTGTTGTTTGGACTCCTGTACCCACTGTGCCTGAGTGCTTTTAACCATACTGCTGCTGAATGTTTACTTCTCCCTTCTACAAGGGGGAGTTTGGAGGTGATTGATCTTATGAGATCTGACATACGATTAGTCCCTCAGGACTGGGCTGTGCAAGTCAAATGGAGTTTCATCCTGTCACGATGCGAGTGTAAAATCTGTAAAAGGAATGCTAGGTAGAGCTATGTGGTGCTTGAGATGACAGTCCTTCTAGGAATGGAACTTGCTAAGACTTTAATATGTGTATTTCAACTCCAGTCTAACTAAAGCCCTCCATATAGTGTCCTGGGTGCTGGTAAACGGCAAGACCATGCTTGACAAAGTCTGCTGGATTTATCCGTCGGGCTCTAGGTGGAGTAGAAACGACAAGGCCTTTTGCACCTTTGATGCTTTTTTTCTTCCTTGTTAGGATGGGTATCTTGTTACTTGTGCAGGAGGAAAGCCAAAATATATCAGGATAAACTTTTGTTTTCATATTCCTTAGTGGAAGAGAAAGTAGAGAGAAAATTTTAAAGGTATTGTGTGGTTTATTTGTTTAGATTACATTGAACTTTTTGAGTGTGGCTAATTTTTCCCTATGCTGTAACCAGGTCCTGAAAACAAGAGGTTTTTTTCATTCCTTATCTTTTTTTGTCCATTCTTCCTGAATTTCTCTTAAACTGCCTGGAGTCTGTGTGGTTGAGTTTTTATTCATTCATTCTTAAATACAGTAATATTATCTGGGCTATTGTCTGGCATGCATTTCTCGTAAAAGAAACAAATAAATAGAAATATCTTTTTTCCTGATAAGTCTTGTGCAGGAAAAGGCGGATGAATGATGAATCACTTCGTGGTTCTGGCAGTACTGCTCCCCTTGAGGACTTGCTACACTACCTACTCACAGCAAGGTAAATGTTTGAACATTTGTTTTTTTATTTGGAAGCAATCCACAACAGCTGAAGCTTTGGACTTGCTCATTTGTAAGTCTCCTGTCATTAAGCGACATGTTACATGCTTAATCAAATGATTCTCTTTGGTAAGGTGATGAAGCAACTTGTTTAATTACCTTCTGTAACCCCATCATGCAGAATTGCCTGTTGAATCATAACTTGCAAGGATGTGAAGCCAGAGTGTATTTATTTATCTGCTCCCTCTCTGTCTCATATGTTTTTGATCTGTACTTTGTCATCTCCAAATAACTTATTTCTTCTTTGACAACTTTTCTGCTTTTCTACCTCTTCCCTTCACTTTCTCTTTTTTGTTTGTGTCATCTATGAAAACTTTAGCACTTCTGTTGGCTCTTTTCTGATTGTGCCACAAGATTCCAGGACCAGATTTTTATTTCTTACACTTCACATACGTATCCCATATAAAGAAAAAAGCAAATATGCGTATTCGGAAGGAACAAAGTTGAATATAAGAATAACTTTACAGAAGGCTGTGTATTTTAAAGTAAAAGCACTGCTTGCACATTTGCTGCTGGCAATAGCATTGGGCATGACTCCATTAAAAGAAAAAAAAAAGGAATGAATATTTTTAATTGGTTTTTCTGTGACCACCATTAAGAAGGCAGAACTTACCAGACTATAGTATGCATTATAGAAGTTTTATTGCCTTAATTAAGTTAGTGAAGGAGGGAGAGGGTGGTTTTTTTTATATTAATGTACTTGTTACCATACTGAAGGGGGTAATATATCTGTTTCAGACTTTTTTGCCTCTCTTCAACCTTGAAATTCATGTGTTCACATTTCATTCACCTAAGGCGCCAGCTCCTCAGTTTTGAGATGCTATTACCAATGCCCCTTAGAGTGGCAAAACTTTGTAATGCAGGCAAGTCCAAACAGTTACTGCATTACAGTAATTTGGTCACTTGTTTTCACATGTGGTTGTTCAGGAATAAAATTAGTCTCTGTTGTTAATCATCAAGATATTTTTATATTCTTGAGTTAGCTTTCAAGTTAAAACAAGGCTTAAGATGCCTTGATTATTTAACTTTGCTAAGAGGGGAAGATTATAACCAGGAATGCTACAAATATTTCTACATGTGTAAATTATACTACAAAAGTCTTTAAGTCCCACATTGTAACTCAATGGTCTTCAAGATCTTGGAGATATCCTTAATTATATTGTTTCTTCTGTTTGTTGGTGCTGTGTATAAGCCCTGACTGGTAATCTAGACTGTCTTATGCCAGGCTCTGAGGAAAACAAAATTGTGTGGGGTCTGAAGTAATATGTCATTTAACTAAAAGGAGATAATGGAGGGCCACTCGTACAGATGGAGAAAAACCAGAAACTAAACTTGGTTTTTTGTCAAGTTAATTAAATGTGGCAGGTGAAAATATTCTCTATGGTGAGAAAAGGGATTAGATTTTAGCTTGGACAAAAAGAGACAGATGTAGAGAAGAGAGGCAATGCAATAGACATAATAGTGACACTTGCAATTAGAATTGGCTAGAGAAGGAGCAGAAAAGAGGATAGGGAAATTCAGAAGATATGTATGGGTTTCTATTAATGGTGCACCCTGAAAAAGGAAGCGGTTTCTGCCAACTGGCTGGCTTTTCTTTCAGGCCTGTTTGTTTCCTTTCCCTGGGAGTCTTACTTCGTGCCTGTGAGTTTCATTGAGAGACTAGCTGAGTCCCTTCCTTTAGGTTTCGTTTTTTGTGCTGGGCCCATCTGTCTCCCCCAGTTGCTTCCGCACTGTAGAAGGAAAACACAAGAATGGCAAGGGCCAGAGCTTTAGATCAGCCACCTATTTGCATATGTTAAATGAGGTCCCCTCAGAGACTTGGTAGATGGTGCTTCAGGTAGAAGGATTATGAATGTACAGGTAAGGTTGACCAGAAAATGAGCAGCTAAGATTCCATGCTGGAGACGAACAACATTACAGTCAATTCCTTAGCATGAGTGGGATTCTAAGAGCCTTTATCTTGTTTTGATGGTGAAAGTCTGTAGAATGTGAGGAGATGAAGTGTGTCTTGTCTTACCTTCCCAAAATAACATAAGATACTCTGCTTCCAGAGTTAGTTTTATGGCTCACTTTATTGCTTTGGTTGTTCTGGCTCCTTGCCTGGTCAGTCCTTGGCAGTGAAGCTAACCAGTATTTCTGTTTTCCAGTAAAACCTAAAATTGCTTCTCCCTCGTCATTTGGGCAAGTGAAATTTATCCCCGGGCCTTCCACTTAGTTTATTAAGTTCCAGACATCTACTAGTTATCATAGGTGCTGGGTTTCCTTATGGTAATATAAAATTGATGGCCATCATTTTTCAAAAGCAACTGTCAAGCAGCAGGTCTGATTTTTTTAAGGACCAAGTCATAACCATAGCCAAAAAGGAAATTTGACTTCTGCACTTGAAACATTTTTGCATTTACCTCACAGAAGACACTAATGCTGTCAAATTCTGCTTTCAAGTAATTTACAGATGTTCATCTTTTTCCAGTAATTATATATTAAGGCTGCAGTGAGAATTGATAGAAGGTATATGTGCATATATGTGTGTGTATACTTCTTCCACAGTCCTGTTTCTGAGACCAAGTGTTTGAACAATGAAACCTTGATTTCTCCCTCCAAGCATACCTGAAGAAGCCTGTGCCAGTAGTTTCCTCTAGATTGAAAGCATATGGTTTTCATTTTGCTTTGACTTCCAATACCTTTCAGAATGGAATGGATTAAAAATAGACCAACAGAGTTTGTAGATGATTTGCTAAAAGAGAAACAATCCTTTCTTTCAGCAGTTTTCTATAAGTTGTTACTAATGGTACAATATATACTTTCCTCCATTTATTCTTTAATTATAGGCTGGACTTGTATAAACAACTAAGCTGTGTCAGTGCCTTTATTCTCATAATTAATAAATACGCTTATAAAGTATTATTTGCTTCCTTTGATTGATCAGGGATTGTTATAACTGCTGCTTCTCTTGAGCCTTTAATTTCCTACAGTTAATGTAAAGATCCGTATGTAGACAGACGTTATTGCAGAGCCGGCACCACAGGATAAATTGCAAAATGGTTTGGATATCTGATTGCTGCCAGAAGCATCTATCAAAATGTAGATTCTCAAACTAAATTTCCTGAATGCTTGCGTTTCTGCCAGTAATATTCTGTAAAAGTCTCAGATAATCATTGGGTTAGTGGGTGGAGCACATCTAGGAGAAATGACTGGAGGTGGCAGTTTTGTGAGAAGGAGCTGCTGAGGTTTCTCAATCCAGCATGTCCCTGAGGACTGTGACTGTAGTGGGGCAGGAATACCCAGAATGAGTTCTGTTTTATTAAAACATGCAGTTATTTCTGTGATTTCTTTTCTGTATCCGGATCAGTATCAGTGTTCTGACCCTGTAACAAGCAGAAGCATCTCAGAAAGCAACTGTGACAAAAGAAAAAGCCTAGTTACTTGGCCAGTTCCCTGACTTCATTAAAAACCAGTTCAAGTTTAGGTTTCTTTTTTGTTTGTTTGTTTGTTTATTTTTCAGGAAGGAGTCAAGATACATATCAGTGAGTGCCATATTTCATCTCTTCAAAGAGTTAGGTTTTTTTGGGTGGAGCACATGCCCTCCCAAAAAAGAAAGCATCTAAAAAGAGGGACCACTCATAAGGTGATCTGTAGTTTTCAGCAGGCTAGTCTTCTTAAGGGGCCTTTCCTTTCCTGACACCAAAAGGGACTTCAGTCTGACTTTTAAACTTTATTTTATTCTGGGAATTCACTCCAGACCCACAAAAGGATGGAGGTCCCATTATAACTAGGCATCTAATTCCAGTAGAAGAATCCATAGCCCTGACTAAAATACCTAAGCTCTGTGCAGAGCAACCAGGAATGTGGCTAATACTAGACTATCATCTGAGCTAGCTAGTGGAGGGAAGCTCTTAACCTAGCCTGTTCAAATACTTGATTTGCATTAACTAATGTAGTCTTAATTAGGTCAGAGAGCAAAATTGAGCCTAGATTCTCTGCGCTAATGATGAGAAGGCTTGCTGGGGGTTGGGACTTCTTGGAATTCAGTCCCTGTTAATACATTATGTTGTTCCTCTTCTTAAGACTATAAAGGGATGGATCAATATTCCCATAAAGTAGCTAGTAAATTGAGGGCATAAAGAAATTAAATAGCATACCCAATGTCATAGAGCGGTGCTATTGAGTAGATTCAGGAACCTCATTCTAGCCTGCTGATGCCTTAAAATGAAATATTATCTTTGCTTTTGATATCAACAGCATGGGTCTTGATCACTTTTTTTTTTTCCCTTCAGAACTGTCTGGTGTGGAACCTATCTTACCTCTAACCACTGTTGTTTCATGTGTGTTTTGTAACTTAGCTGAACATTAATATTTTTGTGTCCTTTTTGTGCTCATAGAATCCAGCGTGTTTCCAGTAACGTACCTTAACATTTCCAAGGATTTGGCTCTTCAGCGGCTGCTGGTGGAATGGGACGTTAGTAAGTCAGCACACGATGCTGAGCTGGCAATGTCTTTTGAAATACAAGTCCGTCGAACAGATGAAACTAATACTGTGTGGACAGTAAGTGTATTTTTAAAAAAGGTATATTAGTTATTTAAAATATAAAGGAAGCTAAAGGAAAATCAAATGTTCAGATGCGTATGCAGATAGCTTTGCTGTATAGGTTTACGATTTACAACATCGTATTTACAAAACTGTACTAGAAATACCTCTGTATTTTACTAGGTGCCAGACTTGGTCTAATGTTATGCCCAGTTATTGTGCAAAAAAAAAATTGGCTCAGATGAAGAAGTAATTTCCACCTGTGCAGAATGTAGATATGCCTTGCATACTCTTATTGAGGGATTGTGGTGGGCAGACTTACGAGATCTGATTTCGAAGGCCTCTGTTTCCCTTTCAACATGCAGGTCCCCTAAGTGGCCTCCCAGAAACATCCCTTCTGTTGCTCCTAAAGGCAGTCTTTTTTGTAGCATGATTACTGCCCTTCACTGGGGGCTAATTGAGCATGGTCATGTTGCTGCAATTCCACTCACCTTATGAACCAAACGATAGTCTCAGTGTGAGCAAAGCCGTTTAAGCCCTGTGCTTGGCCCTGTTAGCAGTTACCTTATACCTACCTCTTCCAGTTAAGGAAGAATAGCGGTCTCTTATGCAAAGTCCGTAGCCTGCTAGTTTTTCTTAACACCTAAACCTGCCAAATTTTCTGAACAGGTTGAGATCACCCAAATCATAGGCTTAGGCCTGCTCCCGATGTTTTCCCCAGTTTGTGACTTCAGTGTGAGAACTTTTGTCTCCAAAGAAAATTTCCTCTCCTTTGGATCTGACAAAATCTTTTGGGAACTAAATGCATGTTTTAGGGATATTATAACCTATTACGAGTCATCTGCTGATTGAACTGTGGAAAAATATGAAATGCACATGTTAAAACTTGGTAAAACTGGAAAACTGCTCTAGCTTGTTTAAAGCTGCTATTTGTGAGAAAGCACTTAAAGCAGAGAAGGGCTTATTTTTCTGAAACCAGAAGTCAATAAAATCGGATGGGCACTGTTACAAATCACAACTTATTCTGATCAGCCAAGTTGGTAGTATTTTGTCTATGAATTTGAAGAACCACATCTTCACTGCAGATGAGCTCTATGCAGTTCAGAAGATCTTGTCCACTTTGATACATGGGGTAGGATTTTTAACACCGCATGAGTAGATCTAACCCTGAAGTCAGAAACTGGGACCATATAGCTATAAACAATTAAATGTTTTCTTGGAATATCCTTTCAACAAACTCTTATTAACATGCTGGAAAGAAAGAGTTTTTCGAATCCAAGGACGTAGTCTGTTCTGTTAATCATGATAAACATGACAAGGAAAATAAACAGGGTATTTTGGATGTCACTACCAGACAGGAATGTATTTGCCTTTATGGTTTTGTGAAGAATGTGTACCAATAAAGAAACTCTGTGAGTCTACTCATACCAAAGAACAGACAGTCTATATAACTTCCAAAGCAGTGACTACATTCCTCGGTGCTATAACTGAGAAATTAAATTGTAAACTAACTGCAGAGTTTTTCTCAGAGTGGTGGTATTATGAAAGTGCAGGTGTTGCTGATGGAAACCAGTAATGGAGAGCAGTTCTTTAGTTGTCAGTGTGAGCCAGGGCTCTGGTACAGCTCATATGAGCAGCACGGATCTATATGCTGAGAATCTGGTATGGTTGCTTTAAGAAGTACTGCAATATATGTTCTAAAATGTATTCATAATTATAGGTGATTAATAGAATCTTTTTAGCCATTTTTTCCTGCTTCTTATGGCCTTTTATGCCAGGGCAGATTCATACCTGGAGTACCTTTTCATCTATCTGTCTATGTAACTACATGGTGCCCTGGTTAGTCTGAGTTGCTGTGCTGTGTATTGGTGCAGCTCATTTAGTGCCCAGTTAGTAGGTACATGCTGAGAAAAATTTGTAAGGTATCTTCTCTTAGAGAGCAGCAGAACATTTTATATTTTTTGCTGTTTGCCTGCATTTATGTAATTCAATATAAAAATGTTTGCCAAATGACTGAGCATTTAGCTCTCATGATTTTTTAACTCCATTTTATATTTTAGGCTGTCCTTCTGCTACCTTCATGGAGCTTTAACAGTTTTGGATGTATTTTTTCATGTTTCTTGGATGTGCAGTCAAGCATTTTGGGAAAATCAGCAGATATTTTCCTACTCTGCCTGTCACTGATGGTAGTACTGTCCTCAGATGCTGTGCCTCAGAACTACAATGAGATATCATCTGCATAAATCCTTACTGGCCAGTGCAGATTCCT